TCCCACTTCTACTACAATATAACCATCTGCTGAAGTAGGCCACCTAGCCTATGGTGCTCATACTTAACCTTTTGGCAATTCAGACATCTCGCCACATATTCTACTATGTCTTTCTTCATCTACCGCCACCAATAGTGTTGCCTCAAGTCATGATACTTCTTCTTAGCACCTGGATGAATAGAATACCCCGAACTGTGTGCCTCCTCTAGAATCCTCTCCCTCAGACCATCAACATTAGAAACGCGTAGGCGAACCTGGAGTCGCAAAACACCATCATCACCGATAATAACCTCTTTGACACCACCTTGTAGCACCGTCTCTCTAAGAACTAGCAAGTGCGGATCGTCGTACTAACGAGCCTTGGTCCACTCAAACAAGGAAGACTAAGCCGCAATACATACAAGAACTCTATTGGGCTCTGAAATATCAGACCTCACTAGTCTATTAGATAAGGACTAAATGTCCAAAGCCTATGGCCACTCATCTGCTGAAATGAATGCCAAACTACCCATACTATCAACCTTTCTGCACAAGGCATCCACAACCACATTCCCCTTGCCCGGATGATAAAGGATGGTAATATCATAATCCTTCTGTAACTCAAGCCACCTGCGTTGCCTCAAATTAAGATCCCTCTGCTTAAACAAATGCTGCAAACTGTGATGATCGGTGTAGATCTCACACGACACCCTAAAAAGATAATTTCTCCAAATCTTGAGAGCATGAACTATCGCGGTCAACTCCAAATCATGTATGGGGTAATGCTTTTCGTGGGGCTTCAGCTGATGTGAAGCATATGCAATAACTTGCCCCTCCTACATTAACACACAAGCTAAACCAACGTGTGAAGCATCGCAATACATAGAATACATCCCTGAATCGGAGAGCAAAACTAACACCCGTGATGTAGTTAATGTGGTCTTGAGCTTCTGAAGCCTCACCTCACAATCATTGGACCATCTGAATGGAGCACTCTATTGAGTCAATCTAGTCAAAGGAGCTGCAATGGACGAGAAACCCTCCATAAAGTGATAATAATAACCTGCTAGCTCCAAAAAACTTCTGATCTCGATCGCTGCGGTAGGACGAGGCCAGATCTGAACTGCCTCGATCTTCTTGAGATATACCTCAATACCCTCACCTGATATAACATGCCCCAAGAAAGCCACGGAATCTAACCAGAACTCACACTTGGAGAACTTTGCATATAGCTTTTGTTCTCGCAAGGTCTGAAGCACAACTCTCAAATGTTGCTCGTGCTCCTCCATACTACGCAAGTAGATCAATATATTGTCAATAAAGACAATGAAAAATAAGTCAAGATATGGACTGAACACCCAATTCACATCCGCATACTCCCATCCTTCTTCTTCACAAACAATACTGATGCACCCCAAGGCGACACACTCAGCCTGATGAACCCCTTCGCGAGCAACTCCTCAAGTTGTTCCTTCAACTCCTTCGGAGCTATGAGTTATGATGGAATAGAGATAGGCTGGGTGCCTGGTGCCAAATCAATACTGAAATGTTTATCATGATCTGGTGGCATGCCTAGTAGATCTAAAGGAAATACATCGGAGAAATCTCACACCACGAGCACTGAATCAATCGTGGGAGTCTCCACAGTGGTATCCCAAAATAAGCCAGATAGGCCAAACAATCCTTCTCAGCTATATGTCGAGCCTTCAAGAAAGATATAACCCGACTAGATGTACTGATAGATGAACCCCTCCACTCCAATCTCGGCACCTCTAGCATCACCAAAGTAACAATCTTGGCATGAAAATCAAGAATGGCATGGTACGAAGATAATCATTCCATGCCCAGGATGACCTCAGAGTCAGTCATATCAAGCAATAAAAGATCCACTCTAGTCTCATAGCCACAGAAAGTCACTACACAGGATCGATAAACCTGATCCATAACAACAGAATCACCCAATGGCATGGACACATATACAGGAATACCCAAGGACTCACAAGAGACATCCAGATAAGGAGCAAATAGAGAAGACACGTATGAATATTCAGACCCTGGATCATATGGTACTTGAGCATCCCTACCGCAGACAGAAATAATACATGTGAGTATGGTGTCTGAGGCTACTGCATTTAGTATGGCTGGAAAGGCATAGAATCTAGCCGGAGCACCACTTGGCTGGCCTCCACCTCTAGGAAGACCCCTACCTACCTGAACTCCACCTCTAGTTGGCCGGACGGGCGGTCCAACAGCTGGTGTGGTGATCATGGGCTGATGGCCCTGTGGTACTGCCTGTCACGCCTCTTTTTTTACCCAACCCAATTACGAGGTTGAGTTAGAAGAGTTTTTCCAATTAAAGTGACGATTTAAAAAGGGATTATTTATTATTTGGAGTCGCCACTTGGAAATTGGAATTGAGTTTTGGTGTTCCAAGTCACCTTTTATTTGAATCCCTTATCAAACGGAAGATTTGACTCCTTATTTATGGTCTACAAAAATAGAAGACTAAGTAAGGAATTCTGTTGACCGAGGGGAAGGTGTGAGGCACCCCTCAAGTCCCGTGGTTCTAGCACGGTCACTTTTATTGACTTATGTCCGGCTTAAATCAGTTCTTGGCTATTCTTGTATTTTATTGATTATGGTTTACGTATTACCGCTTAATTATTATTAAATTTTATTAACTATTTTGACCTATATGTGGTATGCACATAAGGTACTTCTTTGAAATTGAATGTTAAACCAAGGTACGGAATGTACACATGGTCAAAACATAATTATTTTAAATTTAAAGGTATCGAGACGCGGGAATGAGCACATGATCCTTTTATTACTTAAGCATATCAATCCAAGGTTCGGATATGAACACATGGGCTAATATTTAAAGTACATCTAAAATTTTCTAACGTTTTAGAGTATTTCAATAATTTTGTCTCTTTTAGATTCGAGATATATATTTGTATATTTTTACTTCTTTTTTTTTATTTTACTTATTGGAACGAGTCTTGAATTAGTTCATGACTTATTTCGCTACCTCCCAGTTATTTTTCTTACCAATCAATCGGCCTTGACTTTCATATAGGCTCAGTTTATTAATAACATTCTCATAATATAGTTTCAACAATAATATAAGAAGAACACTTAAACTAATCAAAATAATATACAAAAGTAACAATAATTATTATTCAATGCAAATTATGAGTTAAGGCTTTAACAGGAGCCACTGACAGTTCCATTACATTAATTTCAAAAATAATTTACAATATGAGGGCAGGAACCACATGGTACCCTATCAAGTAATACAGTATCTTCATGGATTCGAGAGTGATATACAATGGAAAACTTGATGAGTACTTCTCATAGATTAATTAAATAATTTATTATATCATAACCATAGATTAATACTAATTCTCTACTTATTACAATCTAAAGTTGACTATTCAGAAACTTGTTTATACCATAGCTACTGAATACTTAAAACAGATATTAAAAATGCTCTCGATAATCAAAGAAGTTATATATTGTGACTACGAAATCTCCATTTTTAATAATTAACTTTAATTAAAGACATGCATCCCCGGGAAAACATTCCTGATAAAACTAAACTTCTCCACAAATTATTAAACACAGATAGTAACTAAAACAAGAGAAGAATAAGAATCTTTGCGGTGAGGATTTTTAATATATTATTGAGAAAACTCCAACAAATAGATATCCAATGTCGAACTTGAAACAATAAAAAGCAACAGCGAACCATAAACCAAAACTCGACGAGAACATTAAAACCCGAATCTTGAACGGAAAATCCCTAACTTTCTGTGTTTTGTGAGAACAAAATAGAACTTGAAATTGAGTTTGTCCTCCTTTTATATTTCAAAACAAAGAAAATATTTATAATTTTTTGAGTTGAACCCGCGAACTTAAAACTACGAAGGATACTTCGATTTTCGACTCCGAACCTAAGTCCACCAAACAGTTTATGTCAAAATAATTTTCACTCTAAAATAACAACCCTAATTTTTCTTAGTTGCTGAAAGTTTTTCCCTATCTGATTGCTTTTTTGCATTCTCCCAAAAAGCTCGTTTCTTTCCTCCTCTAAAATGCTAAAAAGTCAATCCACCCAATTATTTTCTCCTTTCGTTCTTTTTTCTCCTCTTTATAAAGAGGAACCAAAGTAGTTATCTAATCTTGTACAAATGATTTGAAGTGGGGACGTGGAATTGAGGTTCAGGAAATAATTGAAATGTGAGGGTATATGCTGGGGAGACCTGAAAGGTGGGGGGACTTGGGGGTTTGGGATGTGACGTGATTAGTGGGAAAGCTTGTTAACAAACGCTACAACATAATGCATCTATAGCTACGAAATACATTGTAGCTAAATATGAAATTTTCCGTGGCTAAACACTTTAGCCACAATATTTTTTTCCGTAGCATTCGTAGCAAAATGTAGCGTAGCTAAAAGTTAGCTACAAACTTCACATGATCCGTGGCTAAGGACTAATACTTATTGCCACGAATCTTGTTTATGTCGTAACTGTGATGGTAAAAATTTCTTGCCACAAAAAATATACTTGTAGCAAGTGATTTTATTCTTTTGCCACGACATATAAAATTTGTAGCTATTTTCGTATTATAGCCACAAGATTTTGTGTTGTAGCAAAAGATTTAATTTATTTGCCACGCAAGCTCAACTTTTGTTGCTAAATTTATAATTTACTCTCGTGGCAATAGTACTTGTGATTAGCTATGAATTCAAAAGTTCATAGCAACACATTAAAGTATTTGCCACCATAATTTTTATATCGTAGCTAAGAAATCATACTTTTAGCTATGAATTCCATAATTTCGTAACAATAAATTGACAAATTTACCACGATCAGCTTTAGCCACAAGAATTTATATATTGTAGCTAACAATCCATATTTTAGCATCAAATATATAAATTTGTAGCAAAATACTTTCAATTATTTTTAATAAATGATATACATTAGTAAAAATACATAATTAAAGGTTCAACAATATCATTCAAGATAAATTAGAATACTAAAATGTTGTAATATTCAAAACGTATCGATATTTTTTTTACAAGAGAAAGAATAATTGCATACAGATCCAGGGTATATAACTCTTTTACAACACGAATAAAAAAGTTTTAAAACAAACTAGCTAATGTGAGACTGGATAGTAATGGTAACCATCAGTGGATAGTGTTTGAACTGAAAAACATTTCCTTTGACAGGGTAAGTTTCTGCGAGAAACAACAACCTGCTTCTTTAAAACCTTAAGATTATTAGTGCAATGGATATACCAAAAGATTACAAACCGTTCAAAACATAAGCCTTATTTAGCAGTTATTAGTTTGAAGCACAACACTAAGAAAATACTACCAACCTCATAAGCTGCACAACTTCTTAGTATCTGATAACTAGGCGTTTCCATGTCTGAAGTCTTGTAAATCCTTAAATTCGTAACTGCCAAAAAATTATATTCTCATATTTCTCGGCTCAAGAAAAGAGCATAAGCTAAACCAGTTCAACATCACACCCGTTTCATAATAACAAACAGTCATAGAGTAAAATATTATTATTCTAAATAAATTTTAGAAGTCCTACAAATTTTAACAATAATTTTATAAACACTCCATCCTTCACTAGGTAGTATAACCAATTGACTTTGTTTTGAGAAAGAGTGAAGTATCATACATACCTCATGGTTATTACACTTGTTTGTTTCTACATTGATGCCCATAACACAAGTACCTGAAAAGACAAATTTAAGTTTACTTAAAAAGAATGAACCTCATCACCATACTGCAACATAAATTTGGAGCATATGCTTAAAAATGATTGTGCTAATGCATCCCATAATTTCACCCTTATAAGCTGTTGGAGTATTTATACTGTATATTTGAGAAGTTTTTCCACCATCTCAGCAAATTCATTGGATAGCGTCTAGAAGTATTTAGAAGTTATGGATTTATCCTAATTGTTGCATTGAAGTTTTAGAAATAATGGAATGGTAATATCTTAACAAGCAACTCTTCTTCACCTATTTGCATCATTGCTAGCTGCCACAAGAAGTACAAAAATATATACAAAGCGAAGATGCATTTCCGTATGACCATTTATTTAGTAAGTTGCACATCAAATGAATGCATATACTCACCCTATATCCACTCAACTGATCATCAAGTTTGGGTGAATACAGTGCCTCACCAACTCATTTGCTCTCTGCAATTATTCACATAGATATTAACCACTACAGCTGTGAATAGTACCTACTCTAATAGAAAAAAATTATTAGTATAGTTTTTTGTGTGTGCATATAACTGCAAACTGGGTACAACCCAAAAAACCATTTAAGATCCCCAATCTGCAAATGGAGGTAATGAAGAATAAAAAATATACAAGAAATTATAGAAAAAAGGCTTGTTCTGGCTTAGTACTACAGAAATCAAGATTCAACTACTAATTCCCGTTTCATACAACAAACTATTTTAAGCAAATAGCAAATATAGGAATTAAAATATACGAAAAAGGTCCTCCATTCATAATAATTGGAGAGATCCCTAATTTATTGCTTTGAATTTGGCAATCTATTATTCTTTTAAATTCTTGGCACTTATCAATATAACTACTTTTAAATTCTTGGCACTTATCAATATAACTAAAGTCGGGATTGCCATTTCACCGCCATATTGTAATGATGAAACTAAAAAGAACTATTCCCGATCAAGAATCCTAAGAAAGCAATGATAACAACCGAAATAATTAAGAAGAGAAACAAAAGAAAGACTAGGGATACCTTGACGATTTATGTTTTCCAAGAGCAAGAGGACGAGGGTTTTAGGGATAATTGGTTTGAGCGGGGAAGATTGGAGGAGATGTGCGGATAGCTTTTGGGGGGAATGGGGTTGGAGTCTAAATATTTTAGGTCTTAAGGAACTGAGAGATTTGGGCTTTAATCCTTTTCTTCTTTTTTTGTTTATCTTTTTTATTTGTAGCTTTGTCTTTAACTTTTCATATACTTTTGCACACAAATGAGTACCTACATGATATTATATAAAAAAAACTAAAAACAAAACTAATGTAGTAATAATAAAATTTTGCTAACAAAACAACAAATAAACAAAATGGGAACTAAGCTATTGTGTATATAATGTTTTGAGTTTAGATTGTAGAAAAAATTAAATTGTAATAAAAATTTCATTTAAAGTATAAATTGAATATATTTTTTTAGAATTAGTTACAATACTTATACATTTATAAGGGATCGTTTGGTTTGAAGACAAGATATAATGGGATCAGTTATGCGGGGATTAATTATCCTAGTATTATTTCTTATTGACTGTTTGATATATTGTATTAATCCTCGGATTGTCAATTTTAATGCTTTATCATGAGATCACTTATCTTGGGATTACTATTCTACCATCTGGCAAGTATAAGTTATCCCGATATTTTTAATCTTGGGATAACATATCCCAGAATTAGTAATCAAAAAGGGGATATGGCGGTACTAAATTTTTATTCCAGAATTATTTTTGTTTATCGATCATATCAAACGAGCCCTAACAATTTGTTACCTTTTATAGAGATTGATTGTTATAGACGTATATAACATTTAACATCTAAATTTTATTTTGTTTTTGATTAAAATATATTCAAAAATCATTTTTTAAAAATTTATTTATGTCTTAAAAGATAATAAAATAATTTTTTTTTGAAATTTCAAATGATATTCAAATTTCATTAATTAAAAATTTAAAAAGCTAACACAATATCAATAAGGTGGAATGTGTGAAATAATATTAGAATATAAAAAGTTTCTACTTTTATATTTTTCAAAGTTTTTTCCCAGTTAATAGAGTTTTTTTATGTTCCCAATTCTTCCACTAAATTTACAAAATTTATTAAAGGTCCGTCTCCAACAAATATAAATATATTATTTTTTAATAAAATAATAAACATATAGAATAATAAATATAGAGATATTTATATATTTATGTCACGACCCGAAATTTCCCACCGACAAGATCGTGACATTTCACTTGCTAGGCAAGCCAATGTTAGATAATCGTTAAACCAATTTCTTATTTCTATTCAGTAAATAACCATAATTAACTAAGATGAAATATATTAAGTGCGGAATATCATAAAACTGTATTAATTACTATCACCCGGATCTGGAGTCAACAATTCACGAGCATTCTAGAATTTACTACAAGCAATAGTCTAAAAGAAATACAACTGACTGAATGAAAGAAAACAGTAGGACATAAAAGATAGACGGTGACTCCAAGGTCTGTGAACGCCGACAGATCTACCTTGAGTCTCCGGACAGCAGACCGGTAGCAAATCTCGATCAACCTGAGCCGTATCAAAATCTGCACAGAAAGTGCAGAGTGCAGTATCAGTACAACCGACCCCATGTACTGGTANCCGTGCATTAACTCTCATATCATGGTACGGCATCACCCTTCGTGCATTAACACTCACAATATGACACGGCATCACCCTTTGTGCATTAGCACTCTCCCTTACCATAATGCAATGCATAAATATCAACAGGGAGATAGAATAGCAAGTGCAAACCTTACCTCAACATTTGGTTCCATAACATCAATCTCAACTTTGAAATAAAAACTCAATTATCACCAGAAAATCCGTAAACATGATGAGAACGATAAATTGAACAACACTAGTATAACATATCGCAATTAGGCATAGGATTGAGACAATATAAGAAAAACTGAGAAACATGGAAAATAGGTAAATTGGCGGTGCATAAGTACTCGTCACTTCACATATACGCCGCTCACATGAGTTTCACTTAACAAGTAATCTAAGGTTCCTAATTTTCTCAAGTCAGGGTTAGACACAACACTTACCTCGCTCTGAAGGCCACTTAATTCTCAATCACTGCTTTTCCTTTGGAATTCACCTCCAAACCACTCGCATCTATTCAAAAATGACTCAATAATATCAAATATTGCTAAAGGAATCAATTATATTGCATAAATTAAATTTCCCAAATTTTACTCCAAAAAGTCGAAAAATCGACCCCGGACCCGCTTGGTCAAAACCCGAGGTTCGGACTAAAATCCTTTTACCCATTCACCCCCGAGCCCGAATATGTAATTAGTTTGGAATCTGACCTCAAATTGAGGTATAAATTCCCAAATTTCCGAAATCCCTAGTTTCGACCCTAACCCCTGGTTTTACCATGAAAACTCTAGATTTTAGGTTGAAAATTCAAGAAATGTAATGGGTAATTGAAAGAAAATGATTTAGAATCACTTACCAATAATTTGGGGAAAATAACTTTTGAAAAATTGCCTCTCACCGTTTGATTTTTGAGAAAAATGAGTTTTTGGCTAAAATCCCGTTTTTGGGTTCTGTTAAGTGCTAAAATCCCTAGAACTACGAATTTAGCACCAAATCAAATGAAATTCTCAAGAACACTTTAACATTTCTATTTTCTCAATTGGACGTCTGAATCACGTCAAATCAACTCCGTTTCTCACCAAATTTCACAGACATGTCTTAAATATCATAATGAACCTGTACCGGGCTCCGAAACCAAAATACGGACCCGGTACTAACAATGCCAAACATCAATCCATTCTTAAAAATAATTAATTTTCAGACTTTTTATTTTCATCAAAAATTCATAACTTGAGCTAGGGACCTCTGAATTCGATTCCGGGCATATGCCCAGGTCCCATAATTCGATACGGACCTACCGAGACCTTTCAAAATACGGATCCGGGCCCGTTTACCAAAAATATTGACCGACATCAACTAAAATTAACTTTTAAGGCAAAAATTCTTATTTTCATTAGTTTTCAACATAAAAGCTCTCCGGAAACCTGCCCGAACTGCGCACGCAAATCGAGGAGGGTAAAATGAGATTTTTACAGTTTAAGAGCGCATATTCGAGTTCTAAAATATAAGATGACCTTTTGGGTCATCACATTCTCCACCTCTAAAACAACCGTTCGTCCTCGAACAAACATATAAAAGTACCTGGGCTGGTGAAAAGGTGGGGATATCTACTCCGCATATCGGACTCGGACTCCCAAGTAGCTGCCTCAATAGGCTGACATCTCCATTTCACTCGAACTGAAGGGTAACTCTTTAATCTCAACTGGCGAACTTGCCGGGCTAGAATTGTCGTCGGCTCCTCCTCGTAAGTCAAATCCTTGTTTAACTGGACAGAGCCGAAATCTAACACATGGGACGGATCGCCGTGATACTTTTGAAGCATGGACACATGGAGTACCGAATGAACAACTACTAAACTAGGTGGCAACGCAAGCCTGTAAGCCACCTATCCCACTCTCTCCAAAATCTCAAAAGGTCCGATATACCTAGGGCTCAACTTGCCCTTATTTTCGAACCTCATTACACCCTTCATGGGTGATACCCGAAGTAACACTCTCTCTCCGACCATGAATGCAACATCACGAACTCTACAGTCGGCATAACTTTTTTGCCTGGACTGAGTTGTGCGAAGTCGATCCTGAATAATCTTGACCTTATCCAAGGTATCCTGTACTAAGTCTGTGCCCAACAACCGAGCCTCTCCCGGCTCGAACCACCCAACTGGCGACCGACACCGCCTACCATATAATGCCTCATAGAGAGACATCTGAATGCTCGACTAGTAGTTGTTGTTGTAGGCAAACTCTGTAAGGGGCAAGAACTGATCCCACGATCCTCCGAAGTTTATAACACAAGCGCAAAGCATATCCTCTAAGATCTAAATAGTACGCTCGGACTGCCCGTCCGTCTGAGAATGAAATGTTGTGCTCAACTCAACCCGTGTACCCAACTCACGCTAAACTTGCCTCCAAAAGTGCGAGGTAAACTGCGTACCTCGATCAGAAATGATAGACACGGGCACACCGTAAAGACGGACGATCTCCCGAATATAAATCTCTGCTAACCGCTCCGAAGAATAGGTAACTGCCACAGGAATGAAATGCGCTGACTTAGTCAGCATGTCCACAATGACCCAAACTGCATCAAACTTCCTCTAAGTCCGTGGGAGTCCAACAACAAAATCCATAGTGAAACGCTCCCACTTCCACTCAGGAATCTCTAACCTCTGAAGTAAACCACCAGGTCTCTGATTGTAACACCCCGAAAAATTTTGAAGTACTTAAGTGGTAAGCCCGGTAAATTTTGCAAAGAAAATAATATTTCATGGTGTCGGACTAGGTTTACGTGTTTGAGTTGAACAATGCACCGGAAAGTAAAGAAACCTTTTTGGCGAAAAAGTACATTTATGCGGTCCATTATGCGACCGCAGAATCACTCTGCGGACCGCATAATGGCCGCAGAGTGAGGCAGATAATTGGGCCAATTGGAAGCAAGTATGCAGTCGACTATGCGACCGCATAACAGTTATACGGTCCATTATGCGACCGCATAACGGTTATGCGGACTGCATAGTGACCGCATACATAGACAGTTCTTTTGGCTATTTTGTAACGAACTATAAGACCGATATGCGGTCCGCATATCGGTTATGCGATCGCATACCTTGTTCCGGAGCTCCATTTTGGGTTTTTAAAACCCGACCCTATTTCGTTAAATACACTCTTTGGGTCATTTTTGAGCTATTATCTTATATTTTAGAGTGAGAGAGGGTGCCCTAGAGTGAGAAGGTGTTCTCCAATATTTGTTCTTCAATTCTTGCTCAGGTTTTGGAAGATTAAGAAGGCAAGTTCACTAGGTCTTCATCCTAGAGTTAAGATTCTACACCCTAAACCCTAATTTCGAAATCATCTGAACACGGGTAATTAGCAAGATAATGTTTGGGTATGAGAGTTGATTATTTTACATGCATGTGATATCAAGGGGTGTAGGAAGATTGTTGAACTAAGCATGGTAAAGATTGGGTTGTGGGATGATGGAATTCTCCATAAAAGGGACC